GGGCCCGGCGGGCCACAGCCAGCCCGGCTGCAAACACTCTCATTTCTGCAGCTGGCAGCCGTTCGCAACAGAGGACGCACATATGATTCATCGCTTAGTAGCAGAGTCTGGGGAGCTCGGGAGGGAAGCATGTCTGGTTTTCTAGAGAGACTGGAGACGCTTTACTGTTTGCTCCAGCAGGCAACCAGCTCTGCCAAAAATGTGCTCCTGTGGTCACTGGCCTCTGGACAAGGGGAGACCCTGCTGACCCAGCATGGGACCCCAGCATCCACATGCTCAGGACACCCAGAACCTGTTGTGCTCCCTGGAGCCCGAACGAGCCATCGCACATCAGCACTCCCCACACGCAAGGGGACACGGTGCCTGCCCAAGCGGTTCGGAGCAGGGAAGTCCTGGCGATACCTGGCTCTCTATACCCGCAGTCCTGCCCTGCACTGCATCCCTCTCCTCCTTCTCCCTGCATCCCCCGGGGACGGCTTGAAGCTGTTCTGAGGGATTTCCATCCATGTTGCAGGGAAAGAAGAAGAGCTTTCACCACCTCTGCCTGCCGCGAGAAGCGGGGGGCATGAGCGAACTGCAGGCAGGGCTTGTGCCTGAGAGGCACCACCGTGCTGACTGCGGATTCAACGCTGCCCGCACAAAGACGGCAAGCCGCTGCGCTGCTGTGCGCATCGCCCGTCCAAAGCTGTCAACAGCTGACCCAAGCTGGACCACGCTGAGCTATTCTCACACCAAAGGCAACATCCCTCTGGATGCCAGGGGATCCCACGATGTGGGTCCCCCGCACGTCCCCGCCAGCTGCCGTGAGGCTTCCGCACTTACCAGACTCGGGTGCCTGTTCCCCAGGGACATGACCGAGGCGGGGAAGGCCTGGCCCAGGCTGCCCACAGTGGCACTGTGGGCCGGCGCCGAGCCCAGGAGACCGTGCATGTCCCCGTGGTTGCTCGGCATGGCGGCTGTCTGGCCCACGGCGTGATTCCTCAGCACGTGGATGGCTTCGTCCAACCTGTCTTCCATTTTGTTTTGCTTGAAGGACAGGACAGAGAAACAGGTCTGTGTTAATGCCTGTGGAGCCAGCAGCCTGCTGCAGCTCTCTGCGCTAAAGAATAGCTGGCAGCAGTCATGCACTCAGCTACCTCTAGGCAGCCATGGGGAGAAATAACCCCCCGGCCCCATCAGTGCCATCCCCTAAAGGCACAAGGGGTCACACAGGCAGAACCGCTCAGGAAAGGGAGGCAGAAACAGGACAGAAATGTGTTCGGCTGGGCCAGACCCACAGGGATGTGAACGGGCCCTAAACAGGGGGAGGGCACAAGGCTGCGCCTCTGCCAGCCAGGCTCTGGGCTCCAGGAAGCCAGCACCAACTCTGCTCAGCTGCTTCCAACCAAACATCCATCTATCCACCCACCATCTTCCTTCAGGCCCCAGACGTCTGGGGGAGAGGACTTTACCCAAAAGCCTTTTGCTGCCAGGTGCACAAGGGATGGAAGAGAAAAGGAGAAGGCAGACCTTTCAGCACAACTTACTAAAGTGTGGAGGCTCCCTTCGTAGCTGGGAGATAAGGCACCCTGTCCGCTCGCTCGCGACCACTGGGATGTGCCTGCGAACAAACGGGGAGAGCTTGGGACCGGGCACGGCTGCCGCTAGATGGGGCTGGAAGCTGGGCCACCACACCGTGCGAGGGCCACTGTGCCACGCGTGGCACCACACGGGCCGCCGCGGCACCGGGCTGCACAGGGATGGTCACGCCGCACGTACCAAACCAGCCACGCCACACATGGGCGCAGGATTTTCCCCTGCTCCCCGTCCCTGCTCTGCGAGGCAGCGGGGTGCCCGCAGAGGTGTTTCATCTCCGAGCAGGTGCCCGCCTGATCTCGCAGCAATGCCGTGAGGGGTCATGGTCTGATCCCACATGCCTCCCATGGAAATCTCTGTTCAGCCCCTGCCGCAGGCTCCCCCCTGCCCCGTCTTTGAGCTCAGGCCTTCAGACCTCAAGAAGCTTTTAAATTTGTATCATCTCAGTGAGCGGGCAGCCAGCACACACGCCGTGCTCGCTCCGACCCCGGGGGAGCAGCAGGCTGGCGTGCGCACGTTGCTCTGCAACCAGGGCACGGGGAGCCTCGGCGCCAGCTCTGCTGGGCAGTCAGCGAGACCTCTCCCGCCCGATGGGAGCAGAGACGGGCTGTCATCGGGCACTAAAAATGGTTTTTAACTAGTTGGCCGCTTCCCAGTTCCCACTGCACTCCTCCCATGGGAGACAAAAGCAGGGACAAAGTCTCCCAGCCTCGCCAAGACAGGACGCTCAGGGACAGGGTCTGTCTGAATGGCAGGAGCGGGTCCCAGGGGGTGGCAGCGATGCTTTAACTCAAGCACGTGCCGGTGCTACCATGTGGGCCAGGCTCGCACCTCCAGCAGAGCCTCCTGCTAAAATTCCTCTGCCGGGGCAAAGCCAGGCGCAGGCAGAGCCATCGCCCTCATGTACGCGGCGTTTGCCGCACCTGGGCACTGCTCAGCTTCATATGGGGCAAAAACTACAACTGATTAAAGCAGATGGACAGGCAACTTCACAGGAGACCTTTAAAAAGTATCTTCAAGTTTGCTTGTCCTTCGTCTTCACTCTCCTGCTTTTAAAAATAAATGGGATTTGTCAAGACTGCCAAAAGCGTATTTAATGAGGGTTTGGGGCTGATCTGGGAAGTACGCTGCCTTGGAGCTCCTGAAAGCAAACCTGACATCCCCCTTTTTACACAGAGAGCAACGTTTTTCACCTACCTGCAAGCCCCTGAGGGGAGCCGACCGGTGTAGAGGGGTTTGATGAGAAGTTATTGCTAGAGTGATCGGGGGAATAAATCTGGAGCAAGAGAAGCGGGACACGGTCAGCAGCGCCCACCCCTGCGACGGCTCTCCTCCTCCCCAGCAGCGCCGCTGAGCCCAGGTGCAGTGAGGACCACCCGACGGGACCACCCGACAGCACCTCCCTTGCCATACCCACTCCAGCTCCCAGCTGGTATGAGGGCCCAGCCCGCTAGTCCCCCCGCAGCTCCCCGATTAACACAGGGGTCCCTCTCTGTCCCCGCTGCCACCACCCCTCCAGCTACAGCCTCCGTTCTCCAGGTCCCACCTCAGAGGGAAGCAAGAGCCCCATGAAACTGTTGCAGGGTGCAGTGCTGGCACCCCTCCACCACCATGCAGAAGCAAAGGTACCTGCACTGAATGGGACAGAGGCAACCCCAAGCTCTGACAGTGCAGTGGGACCAGTGCCCTCCAGTTTGAACCAGCACACGCAGGGCCAGGAGTACTGGGACCTGCTACGAGGGCTGTGTAGGGCCGTCTTGCCAGACCAGTACCAGGCTGAGCAGCCACAGAGCTGGCTCATGGGCATGGGTCAGCGGGGCCACCATAACATCCAGTGCCTCAGTTTCCCCATCTGCTAAAAGGTGCTTTTGCACAGCACCAGGACTCAGGATGGCAGCACACGGCGGGGGAGAAGCCCTCCCCTCGGAGGCTGCCGTGTTTTTGGGGTGCATTCACCCAAACTCCTCAATGTGTCCATCTTCCCTGCTGCCTAGAGGATGCCTGTTATAGAGGGGAGGTCCAACACTGCAACAGGACAGGGACCGGGGTCAAGGATCTGCAGAAACTCTTACTGAAGCTAGTGCCTTCCCGAGCGCGTCTCCTGAGCTCCCAGCTGCGGTTCCTCTGTTACCTGCCAAGAGAGGACACAGACATCACTGCCAGGGCGCCAGAAACCCAGCAGGGCAAAGCACCCATAGAAGACCTACTCTGGGGTCACCTGCTCTGAGACTGAAATTCTGGCTCTTACTGCCTTGCTTGAAAATTAAATGGATGCCCAGCTCAGAGCAGCCTGGATGAGGGCACACACACCCCGGCAGCTTTCGTGGGGTTGCAGAAATGTCTTTATAAGACACTGGGCCAAACATGTCACGCCATCAACAGCAATCAAATGTCTCTGCTGCAGCACGGTCCATTTTCACAGGGCATCTTAAGCCCCTACAATCCCAAACTTGCTTCCCCTCCTCTAAACAAGGGTTTTTCTACAAAAATCAAGGTCAGAATCCTCATTTCCTGGGGAACACGAGTTCATTTCAGTAACAGGTTTTGTTCATTAGGGTTAGAAATTAAAGCACTTAGAGGTTTAACATGGTATCCAAATGCAGCACAAACATTTCTCTTCCAGATTTAGATGAACAGCTTCACACATACCCCTGCCTTCCCGCAACTCATTTAAGCCACAGTGCCTCCAAGAGATAATGTCACAGATCCTGGTCTCCTCCCAGATCCATCAAGAGAGGTGTAAACCCCCAAGCCGGCACCTGGTCCCCCTGCTACAGCCAACCCAGGTACCCAGCCGCAGTACCCTCGGTGCACCTCTTCCTCATGCAGTAACTCCATGCATGGGCGACACACAAGGGATAAAAAGTGTCTGGGCACATCGGACACAGATACCACTGCCTCACGCCTCAGAGATTTGCACGAGGCTTTGATTTTCCCCTTAAGCCTCTGCAGAGCAGCGGAGCAAGGAGGGTCACGCTGGCGACCACCACGCGCCCCGGGGCCGTACGTACCCATCAT